GGTTGCTCCAAGCCCTGTCCAGCCTGGCCTTGGACACTTCCAGGGCTGGGGCAGCCACAGCTTCTCTGGGCAATCTGGTCAAAGCCCTTTGCTCAGAGAGCACGAGTATGAGTTTCAGTCCCCAGCAAATGTAAAACCACGATCTTCACCAAAGAGAGGCAGGCAAGAGAAGAGGCTGTTGCACTTCAGTGGGATATTCCAAAATAGTTCCGCTTTTTCCTCATGGCACAGGAAAATACTGAGCTTTGAAGTGAAATGCAGTGCAGAACACTGTGAGGAGTGGTGGCTCCTGCAAGCATCTGGAAACCTGGATCCCAGTCAAAAGTGACATAATTCAACCCTCTTTGTGAGAGTTCAAAGCCCAGAAAAAGCCCAACCTCTGCTTATCTGGTGAGCTTTGTAACCAGCAGAGAAGGTACAGTGTGTCTCCAGATTCAGCAAAAAAACCCCTAATATCTTTTCAAAATGACTGGTTACTGATTGTGAGTGTTCTGCATGACTGCCCAGAGAGAAGAAAAACGTCCTTAGGAACAGTCTCCACAATCATCCATAATAACAGCACAAGGCATCATCTTCAGAAAATGTGCAGCTTCCCCCTGACCTGCCTGAGGAGACTAGAAGTGTCTCTGTGACGAGATCCAGAGCCTGAGACTTGAAACCCATTTGGATAAGAAGGAAAATGTAAAAAATGTATCTTCTAAAGAAAAGGAGATTGGTATGACAGCTCCTGAACGAATTGGGTCCCAAGGTTTACAGAGCCCATCAGCTCATCTCTCTGCTTCATATTTGGTGGTTTTCCATCTGCAGGAAAAACTGAAGCACCATCATTTAGGATGAACTTTGTCCACTTCATGATGGATGAAGTTATTGCATCAAAGGAGGCTGACAGATGAAGGGAGACTAGAACTGGGTTTGCTGCTGTGCTTTCCATGCTGCTGTTTATTCTAAAATCTTCAATAATGGGCAAAAATCTGACAAAGCAGAAAATCCCCAGCTGTCCTGAGCTCATCTACCACTTGCACAGCTGCTTAGAGAAGAGAACCTGCTTGGCTGAACCAAAGGGATTTCAGAGGGAGCAGCAAAACTTAAGAACTGAGCAGGTTTAAGTGAGCAATGACCATATTAATGACCTCAATATCAAGCACAAAACAAAGGAAGGAAACATTGGGCTAAGCCAGTGGGAGCACTGGGGAGAAATGGCAGGAATTCAAGAGTTTGTCTAAATACAGAGTTGTACTGACTTCATTTAGCTGTGCTGTAAAATGCTTTGCGTAAATAAGGTCAAAAGACTAAGTAGACACTTTTCTTTCTCTATAAACCATGTCTGGAGTTCAAATATTGGGAAATAAATTTGAAACTAACCAGCAAAAAATCTGTTTCTAAACCAAAGGAAGAAGAATTGAGGAAGTTTTTGCTTGCTAAGTTAAATGAGAACAGAGGCATGAATGGAGAGGGACAAAGAGGGCAGAGCCAGTGAGAACAAGGTGGGGGGAATTACCAAAGGAAGCGTCTTGCTTTGTCTCCACTACTGATAGATTGGATCATCTCTAGCCCCATTGTCCCTGATATTGAGGCTTCTGAAGTGAAACTGGAGATCTTTTGTAACTTTAATGACACGGTTTTCCTGCGCTGGCCCCAGAGGAGACAGGCCCAGCTCAAAGCACTCTGAGAATGCACCAACAGCTCAAAGTTAGCAAGTGTGCCGTTGTGTTCTGCTGCTCCAGGGCCTGTGCTGGCCCTGCAAACAGCTCTGCCACGGTCGGGGGGACCCTCACTCAAAATCTTCTACCTTACCAGGGGGCAGAGAGAAATCCAGCAGAAACAATCAGCTGGCAGCCTTCCAGTTCGCCTCGGAAAACAAGTGGATTCCTAGTACAGCCCAGATTCCTTCTGATGCCTCAGGAAGTCACTCTTTCCTCTTCATTTGTACACCTGACACCAATGCTAGGAGCAGCCAGGTGCCCTGGATACAAACATTCCTGTCTGAGCTGGTCCTTGAAATCAGGGTCTGAATTTTCTGTTCTGAACCTCTGCTTCAGTGTAAAAGTGGGATCCAGACAGCTCAGTGTTTAAGGAATGCAGAAGTGAGATGTGACTTCTGCTGTCAACATTTCGTCTCTCCCAGCTGCAGTGTGGGCAATTCCTTTCTTTCTCATGGCTGACCCTCTCCTGTGGGTGCTGAGGGTGTGACAGACGTGTCCATACCCTTCCCCTCACCTACGGACACAGTGACTCCAGTGAAGAGATCTGGCCAAGAGCAGCAGGCAAGTCACAGCAAAAGTTAAGAATAGAGCCTGACTTTCCCATCTCCCAGGTCCCACTGTATTTCCGTGGGGAACCACTGGAAACGTGTGAGAAATGCAACTGTCAGCGACAGGGCAGAAAATAACCATTTCCAAATCCCCTCAATAACTCCCAGGGTTGCTGTAACTGCTCAGTGCCAGCCTTCAGCTCAGTCAGGTCCTACCACAGCCTGTCGTTTCCATCACTTCTCCCAACTTTTAATTACATCCTTGGGTAACACAACTCTCTATGCTCTGTGCATACCTGGAGGGAGGTGCATGGCCTGGCAGCTGCTGTAAAGGGTTGAGAATTAATTACAAAGGACACAGGGTTTGAGCTCCTCTCAAGTGCTTGCTCAGCTGTGTAACCTTGGGGCAAGTCACGGCTGCTTTGTGCCCAAGCAAACCCAGCTGTAAAGCATCTTGAAAACCAGACGGTGCTGAAGGTTTAAAGTGCTCAGGAGAATGATGACGGATGGAGGAAAAAAATTTAAAAAAAGAAATTCTCCAGCTCTTGCCGCCAGTGGGGTTAATCTGGACTGAATCAATGTAACTGAGAAGAGAATTTTCTTTGATATCTGAAAAACACCCCACACTCCCAAATCTGTTTTTCCTTTCCTCTTTTGACTTTATGTCAAGTACCTTCTCTCTCTCTCTCGGGTTAATTTAAACCTTCAGTGAATACATGTTTTTCCCTGGCAGCCTGAAGTTTCTAATTCAGGATCAGGTTCTACATGACTAAACTTTGATCTTTTACATGATTATTTTTAGGCACTTCATTCCATAGCATTCTTGTCTCCCTGCTTTTCCTGCTGCCATTGCCTTCAGTGGCACTGGGATGTTCTGGGGCTCAAGTACTGCCCCCCAAAATAAATACTGAGCTTTATTGCCTTCTGGAGATGGTACACCCTGGCTTAGAACCAGTGTCAAAGCCACTCCAGGATTTGTATTGCTGGTCAAACAAAGGAAACACGGAAGTTTCTGTAGCAGAATAAATGTTTGCCACATGTTAGTATTTAAGAGAAGACTTAAGTGTTTCAATATTTTTTTGCTTTAGCTAAAATGTAGCATTTTTTCCCCACAGGAATGTGGGAATACTTACTTATGTAAGGAATATTTGTGTGTGCTTCCAAAGCAGGGTGTCTGAGATTGCAAGAAGGGAAACCAATATATTTTAGTCTAGTGTAAACAAGGAATATTTAAAGATGTGAGACATATAGGAGCCATTTTATCCACTACTCAGAAAAGACCTTGCATGGTTTTATTAATCACTAATGAAAATAAAACTTTGACAGGTTTGAAATTGGATGAACTTTCTTCCCAAATAAGAAAGGATCAGAGCTGAAGGAGTGAGTTACAAACAAATCTCACAGGCTGGAGCACCAAAACCTCTTAGGCTTTTATGAAAACAAATGCCAGCAAATTGTCTTCAGCACATTTAGCCCTTGTTATACAGCCCTGGGATGGCAAAATATTTAATTGCCATTCAAAATTGGTGATCATTTTTCCAGTAGAAAAATACTTCGGTTTGTATGTCTCTGACAAACTGCTGTTTCATGATATTGAATCTTTGGGTTCAATATTTGAGCTATTGAATCTTTAGATTCAATATCTGAGCTGTGCTATCAGTAACTTAAAACATTGAAATTCTCTGTCATAAATACCATTCTGAAGTGCCTGTGATGACTAATGACACTGCTCAAACATCAGACTGTTAATTAACCGTTAGCCAAAGTAGAAATCCCCTGACATCCTTGGAGACCCCATCTGGGTGATTGAACTTTCCATTTCTCCTCCTACCACCACTTGAAACTGAATTTAAAAACAGGTGCAGGTCATTTGTGGGAATAAAAGAATTTAAAATTAATCAGAACACAAGACATTCTCAATGCCCAGCTGTGGAGAACAATAAATAAACCAGAAAGTGAGCTCTAGATAAAGGCAATCCAGGTGAGCGGAGTTGTCTAATGTGGGGACACAACAGATACAAAATACATTTTCAAGTCCTGGGCTCCACAAATCCTCATCAGATTCAATTTACATTTGTGCTGCTCAGGATGAGTAGAAGGTTGATTTAGCTCAGTATTTCCAGCTGAAACTGCAGCTGGGAGTGGTTTTGTATATCCATCAAACCTGGGGGTTCCCTTCTGTGTCTCTGAGAATAAATCACTGAGCTTCACTTCACGGTCCTGTGAGTTGCTCACATGGGTCTGTTTGAAGGAAGGGTTGTTGCATCATGAATTTTACCTGGTCCAACCCCTCTCACTGAGAACAGAATTATGGAAGTTCATGTTGTTGTTACTGGACTCATAAACCAGGGCAGCTCACGGGATATAGCTTCAAATCCTTGGAATGCTGGGACACAACTGAGGCACTGCCACTGAAGTGTGTGTTAATATGATCCGGATGCTCTCTGAGGAACCCAGGGAGGTCTGGTCTTCAGGAAAACAACAAAATCAGGAATTCACGAAGTCAAAAATTTCAGGCATCATAAAACATTTTCATCTTCAAAAAAGCCCCCAAAACTAATGATTTAAACATACTTCACATGAAGGCCTTGTTTCTTTAAAACAGCATCTTGAACTTGAAGTCTAACTAGCTTGGGAAAAAAAAGTTCAGTAGTTTTGGGTGACCTCCTTGCTCTTGATCAATACAGTCTGGTTTTGGGCAGATTTTAAACCACTCTGATCTATTTGTCCCTCTCTTGTTGCCATGTAGGAAACCTTCAAAAGAATGAGAAGTGTGAGAAACTGCCTACAAAATGCTGCTCCAAGGACCTATTTTGCCCAAATAATCATTTTCAGAAACAGTCAAAATGCTTTTAAAGAAAAATAACCTGGAAAAATAGTGATATAAAAGCTCCCTTTGAAGAGACCGTGTAAGGCTGAAGCTTGCATTTGAACAAATCTCTCCCTAAGTTTCTAAGAACACTTTCTAAACCGCCATTTAAAACCTTTCAGTTACTACTTTTCGCTATTTATGCTCTTCATTGACTTTTTGCCTTTATTTTCCACTCTTGTGACCAAACAAATCTGGTACCTTTTGCTTGCTCAGTACAGCTCACGTTGTTCTCCTCGTGCCCTGCTGCAGTTCATTGCCTGTGTTTGGGAACACCACCATCCCCAAGAGAAGCAGGATTTAATTACTTTTATTAATGAAATCCACTTTTGAAGACTAAACTATTTGACTATGTCCTTTTCAAAATGGAAATAACTGGGAACAAAACCTATTTTTAAAAATCGCAGTTTGCAAATTCTTGTCTCAAAGAGCAAATTCTGTGAGTTCCTCTGCAGACCCAGTAAGTTCTGTAGGTTCCTTTGCAGAACCAGCTCAGACTTTATAGGAAGATGTGAAGACCAAGTGGAAGAGCCTATCACACAACCTAAATTGTTACAGCTCGTCGCCTTTCTGGGGAAAACAATTGCTGTGGCTCCCTCAGAGCGCGGTGGCAGATTTCCCTTTGGAGGTCAGGGCCTGTTTCAAGCGTCTCTTCAGGTCCTGCATGTTGGGGGACTTGGGCCGGACGAGGTGGAGGCCGCGGCGTTTCTCTCCGTTGCAGCTGCCGATGATCCTGCTGAGCTCCTGGCACAGCTGCTGGAAGGCCTCGTGCACACCCTCGCAGTTCTCCCGGGCCGACACCTCGTGGTAAGTGCCCCCCAGCTCCCCGGCCAGCTGCAGCCCCTCCGTGGAGGACACCTGCCTGGCCCGCAGCAGGTCGCCCTTGTTGGCCACGAGCAGCAGGGGAATGTTGGCGTTGGGGTGGATCCTGCGGATGTGCTGGTGCAGCGGGCGCAGCACGCGGTAGCTCTCGTAGTCCGTGATGGAGTACACGAACACGAAGCCGTCGGCCCAGTAGATGGAGCGGTTTATCTGCTCCTGGCAGCAGATGCTGTCGGTGTCATCCTGTGCCAAAGCAAGAGCGGGATGTTAGGAAAACAGGGAGCAGAGAGAGCCACGGCGTGCCGCGGGACTGGAGCGTGGGGTTGGGGTGAGGCTGTTGGTCATTGCACTGGCAGAAACTTCTCCCAACATACCAGGGACAGGGGACACCCCAGTCACACCGGGCCAGGGGGCTCAGCCTGGAGAAAAGGAGGCTCAGGGGGGACCCTCTGGCTCTGCAAATTCCCTGACAGGAGGAGGGAGTCGGGGGGGGTGGGGTTTGGGCTCTGCTCCCAGGGAACGAGGGACAGGACAAGGGCTGTGCCAGGGGAGGGTCAGGTTGGACATCAGGAGGAATTTCTTCACAGAAAGGGTGGTCAGGCATTGGCAGGCACTGCCCAGGGAGGTGGTGGAGTCCCCACCCCTGGAGGTGTCCAAGGAAGGACTGGATGTTGCTCTGAGCTGGGGGACAAGGTGGGGATGGGGCACAGGATGGACTCGATGATCTCAGAGCCTTTTCCAACCTCAATAATTCTGTAATTCTGTGATTCTGTGAAAAATAAATAAGATGGTTTTATTACAAGCAGGGATTTCCATGGTTACCTCATGTTGAGATACCTGGAGGTTATTTGGGGAGATTGAAGAGCCATTTTGTGGTCAGGAGCTGGTGGGTTGCATGTTGTTCTGGTCACTGTTACTGACTGCTGCTTACTGCCTTGTTTGCTGTTCTGATTTTTCTGGTGGTTCTGGTCACTGTTACTACTGCTGACTCACTGTTTTGCTTACTGGTCTAGTAGGAAGGTGAATTGGAAAGCATGTAAGGCAGTGAGACCATTGGGTCACTGCCAGGGGACCGTGCGGCCAGGGGCAGGGAAACAACCTGACAGGTGGATGGGAACAAGCAGTGAACCGCACCAAAAGGCAAGGATTGCCTTTTGAGGAAGAGGTGAGCAGAGCCTGGTGTGGGAGGTGCGAGGGGGTAGTTTTCAAGAGACCTTAAAAAGGCTTGTCCCCTCCCAGTCAGGTGTGCTTGGACCTGGTCACGAGGTTGAGGCACCCAGCGCGCTGAAATTAAAGGTCTTTCTTTCATGTTATTTGGCCGTCTTTGGAAGTTTTAATTAGAGATATTTCTCACAATTCTGTGAACATACTGCAGGTCAGCAGTAAGGTAGAGTGGAGAGGGGTCAGAGAAAAATTGGTTGAAAAGAAGAGAACAACCAAAATACTGCTGTTGGAAAGTTTGCTCTGTGTTCCACGGTACCAAATCCATCAGAAACTCACGTTGATGTTGTGGATAAAACTGTCCTGGGCACACAAAGGGCATTATAAAATTCAGCAGGCTTGGCACACAGTTGTCCCTCAAGGTGTATTTTAGGGTGTTTTCCAATCCTTTATTCAGTCTCCATGGACAGAGGTTCTCACTAACTCTGTCTGGTGAAGCCTGAGGGGTTTTCCTGCCTTGCCCATCTCCAGACAGTCAAAGGCATTTGAAAAAGCAATTTTTTATGAAGAACCAATCCCAGGAACTGGAAAGGAGGTGAAATCTCCTTGCTGGTTTGCAGAGCGGCGATGGGTTCATATTATTTTTTGCTGGTCACACATTTGCTCAGCCCATCCCCATCCTACTCACACAGCCACAACAATGCCCAGCACTGGGAACATAAAGCTGAACGAGACACTGCAGGGCTTGAAAACAGATCAGCTCACTTTTCAAGATGAAGCTATTTCCAGCTAATCCTCTGCCCTTTGTTATCCCTGCTGGCTGTGACCCACCCAGGGAGATCCCTGCTGCAGCCACTGCTGGCCTGCTGGGTGTGTAAGGACTGACATTCCTGTCAATATTACAGGATTTCTGGAACTCTGGCATTGCTTTCATATCCAACAAGGCACCAAGAATATTCTGTATTCGGCTCTTGATGAACCTGGTAGGAATTAGGGGTATTTTGGGGTGAGTTCAACACCATAAATACAGAGCTCAAACTTTTATTATTGTTGCTAAATTCCACTCGAGAAATTTTCATCAACTATTAGAGCATATGCTCCATTATCTACAAAATAAGTATCTGCCATTCACACCCATTTTAACAGAATTTGCATGTGCTCAGCAACCACCCCAAAGAGATCGCTTTTATTTAGGCACCTAAATATGGATTATAAAGCCCATCTTCAGGAAGCAGAGGTAGAAAAGGAGGAGTAAAAATAATCAGTTCTTTCATGACAGATCAGACAGTAAAAAAAGAACTACTGACAAGTTCTTCTGTGGGAAGAAGGAAGCAGAATTTCTGAAGGCTCAGAGTATAAATTAGCCTTACAACTTCCATCAGGAGTTCTGCCAACGGACTGCTCTTTGGGAATATTTCAGGATTGCCCACAGAGACACTGGCTCATCACACCTTGCCGTTCCCTGCCCTTGCCAGCTCAGCGAGGTAAATCCTGTGAAACCGTGTAACAAACGCCCTCCTCACTCCCCCCGAGCCCCTCAGCCCAGCAGAGCTGCCCGCGGAGTGCAGGACCCTCCTCGCAGCCCTGCCGGGAGGTCAATGAGGTGCAGCCCGGCCGGGCCGGGGCAGGCTGTGGGAAGAAGGGCAATTTGCGCAGTTGGTGTCTGGGCTGTCTCCAGCGTGGGGATAATTAACCACCCTCCACGGCCTGGAAGCTTCTTTTCACCACCGAACTCCTTTCACGGCAGAAATAAAAAGCGCTAATTGCGCTGGCAAGCGTTTGGAAATGCGTTTGGAGAAGGTGAACGCTCAGGGAGCCCTAATGAGCAGAAATGCTCAGTTACCCCAGCAGGGCCCACCCGGGAGGGAGAGGGATGCAGAGTCCCCAGCGGAATGCTTTATTCGGGAAAATCAAAGGCTAACGGGCTACTTTTTAAATGGAAATCTCTGCTCCAGAATGGGTTTTGAAGCACACACAGCCGTTTGCCATGTATAGACCAGCAATGAATCACCCAACAAAGCCAGTTATCTGCTTGCTTCTGTTTCTTTCTTAAACATTAACATTTCTGGTGGCTTGAATCCCGAGGGATTCCACATGACTTCCTCCTGGAACACTGTACTCAGCCTGCAGAGTGCAAGAAACTCTTTTCCCTAAGGATTTTAACAAAAACCTCAACCTATTCTCAGTCTTAACCAGTCCTGTTAGGGAACAGTGCCTTCAATTATTTCAGATGCACCATTTGATGCACACACACACACAGGCTTTTATAAGATACAGGTGTCTGTGGGAACTGTTGGGACAGTGAGACCTTTGACTGGGACAAAGAAAGTGAAACTCCTTCCTAAGTTAAAATCGTGTCTGACTGAGGAACCTCAGCTGTTGGCAAGATGGAATTTTGTGGAGCTCTGGGTAGAGTCACTGAACTATAGGCACAGCCTTAATTAGAAGAGAACTAGAAAATAACATATATGTGGTCTGAAGGAGGGAATTAAATCATTCCACTCCCTCTTTTCTCCCTAGGATAGAAGGGAGAGGGGATTCCCTGGGTGAAGGGCTCATTAGGCAGCACCAGTTGTGCCTAATCCCCACCCGCAGCTCCTTTTTGCAGGTCCTGCCTTAGCAAGCTGGCAAAGGGCCTGTGTGCTGTGAAGTCCCACTTGAATATCTGGAGCACTTCCACAGCAGCTTTTGTTTGCTTTTTAGTGTCCAGAGCAAATGAGGGCTCCTCTCTTCCCTCTGTGTCCCCCGGAGGCAGCAGAGTGTGGAACCTCATCAAAGCTTTCCACTTAATCTGCTTCCAGTCATGGGAGAAGTTGGAAATGGGAACTGAGGCTGGGGGAGCTTTGCTTGTCCCGTCCTGCAAACCCAGGCTGGAGCATTCTCCAGCCCAGAAATGCACCCCTGGGGCTGGGCGGGTCAAACAAGTGTACAGAGCTGTCCAGGGTGGCCTGAAAGAGGAGGAGAGAAGGTGCTGTTCCCATCCAGACGTGTTTGGCCAAGTCTAAGTTTA